AGACAAATTTTAGAAATATTTAGGTGGCAGAATGAATAGGATTTTCTGGCCCATCGGTTGTACATTTCAATGTCAAATAAAAGTAGTTTAGAATTTATTACTTAAGGAAAAGTTCATTACCTTCTTTAAAAATTACCCATGTCATTTCATTCTTGTGTTACTATATAGTTTGAGACAATTTAGAGTTGATTATAGTCTATGCACTCTCACAAACTACAAGAACTACTATGTCTAGATTAGGCATCACATCATCACCACATCGTATCATCTTTTGAGCTACAAAAGCTTGTCCTAAAGTCAGAAGTTAGTGTACTATCCCACTAGGAAGGATCTAACCAGATTTTGCTTTCTGGTTACATCCAAATTCAGCATAAGCAATCTTGTACCAAAGAACATACTATTGTCTGAATTGTCCGAACTGTCTGAGGCACAGGGAATTTATTAAGGCCCAAATTGCTCTGAAGGTGTAAAAATTCTAACATTTTAATACAATATACTCATATTCTTTTTTTTTTTTTTGGTACCAGGGATCAAACTCGGGTCCTTGCACTTCAAATTCCTTTTTTCAAATAAAAACATTCACAAGAGTGTAAAAGACATTGAAATTCTAAGAGAGGTGATCTTTTGTAAACACATTTATGTTCTCTTGGGAAATAATGAATAAAGTCATTCACTACTGAGTATAATATTCCTCACTTACACCTGCCTGATGAAAGCAGTCAACATAGTTAGTTTCAAATTAAAACACAGTTGGAGCAGGTAGCCTAAAAATTGATCTCTGCAAAGAGGACAAAAGGTGACAAGACGCTGTTTATTAAAATCTGCATATGATAATAATCTGCCAGATATTAATCTATCATCTTCCCTCTATTGCTCTGGTCACCAGGGCAATCCCTTAGATGAAGCTAACAGGAAAGAGGATTCCACTGCAATATGAGCCTGATTCCCACATACAGAAGCACTCAACTCCATTAAATAGAAAAAGGCAAAGAGTTTTTCTAACGACTTATGTGCTAGTGTACAGAAGTCTTTCTCTTACTCGTTACAGAGCCACTGCAGAGCCCAATTCTGTAATGGAAGCATAGGACCAAAGGACTCATTACAGATGGAGGGAGGTCATATTACTTGCCGGGGACACAGCTGGTTTGTGACAGCCCCAAATTAGAACTTCGAGTGTCCATCCTCCACTCCCAGAAAACTCTCTCGTCTCTTAAAATAACAGAACATGAGGAACTGGAACACACAGTCAAATGTGCCCCAGAATTAGTTTCTATAAAATGAAAACTGATAAACGAATCAACTGATGTGCTGGCCATTCCTCCCCACTGATTATATTCATTAATCAGCAGACAAAACTGATCTAAATTTCATTAAGATGTCAGTTTAGGACTTTTATCTTTCTTTTCGCATCCTTTAAGCTACGGTATTTTAATTGTCTGCTTTATTCCTTAAAGACAGTATTTAAAATGACAAGTATCAAAATAAAAAAATGCCATGACTCTGCTTTCTCATTCATAAGTAAAGCCTTTTATGAATATTCTCTTTAGAACATGGAAGTGAAAGATAACTTTACAATCTCGATCAATAAGAATGCCCCTAAAATGCTGGTGGAATTATATATAGAAAATAAAGAGGCACCCATCCCCAGTGCTGCCGGAGGGGAGAGTGCAAAGAAATTAAAAATTAGCAGCAGCATGGGGATGAATAAGTCATAAAAGCTTCTAACAGCTTCATCCACAAAAGGTTTGAGGCCTTGAAAAGTCACTTCACATGAGCTGAGCATGTTTGCATATATCTAATATGAGGCATTATACAGATTTCCCTTTCATGGGGAGTTTTACTTTTATCTCTAGTTAATATCACAATTTCTAGTTTTCAAAAAATGTGAATGATCCCACATACATTTGATTAAACCTCATTTCTTCTTCAGATAATGCCATGCACATTTTATTATTCATCTCAATTTGAACAAAAGGCAAGATTTCCCCCCTTCTGCCCAGAAACTACCAATGGGAAATTAATATGACAAAGGAACAATGAACTCATCTCCTGGCCTGTGAACTTCCCTGGTTGCTAGGAGGCTTGTGAATTCTCAGGATTACTTTAGATGTGGTAGCATGGATTGGGGGCTTAAAACCTTCATAGAAGGCATGGTCTTCATGACTGAAAGTTTCACAGTTTTCCATCTAACTGTCCCTTTCCAAGACCTCGTCAGTTTTATGTGTGCCTGATCAAACCTCTTGATCTTAAGTGTAGTTTATCCTGAAGGGATACAAAAAGCCAAGGCTCAATGTCAAGCCCACTCTGTAAATCACATTTTACACTGATAATCACTTATTTCCAGTTAGAAATGGTACTGCTGTCTTATTAGAAAGCTATCTCAGAACCTTACAATTCTGCTCACAGCACTACTGTGTGTTAGGTATGCTGGACCAAAAAGACTGCTATAAACATCTTTTTCTAAAAATTTCCCAGGATCTTTCATTTCCCAAATTTAAAATAAAATTATTTCTCTTAAGTTATCTTAAGTTATTTAGCACATCTTTGAGAAGCCTCATCTTGTCCTCTGAACTCAAACAGTTTACCCACAACAAAAGACCCTGTTTACTAAAACTGAAGTATGATAATACCCACAGTCATTAAGCCAAATGGCTGGACAAACAGAAAGAAGAAATGTGGAAAGCTGTTTTCACCACATTCAGCTGGTGTTTCTAAGATGCTTCATTTTCTATGTGACAAAGTCTTTGTATCCACAGCAACAAACTGGATACAAGTGGATTTCCTTCACATTTCCTAAGGAAAGGAGAACTTCTTATGAATGATCTCAGAGTGTTGCAACGAAGCCTCCATTTCTATCAATGGTCATGTTGAAAGGAGCCATATTTGGAAAGGAAACAGATATCCAACCTCCACTTATCACCTCAAAAAAAGTTGCATATGAGAAGAATCTACTCACTCTCTCAATATTCACTATAGGGGGGTTGTCTTGATATTTATTATTTCTTTCATTTAGCACCAAAACTCACTTTCTATTCCATGTATTAGTTAACATTTAAAATAACAACAAATAATAGCCCTCTCTCCCTGGGCAAAAACTATATTTTATCAACCCTGTAACTCCATGAGAATCTAGCAACGCACTCCATAAAATGCTGAACGAATGACGTAGTTCTTCTTGTGGTCTTCTATGCTCAGCAGTAACCTAATATTGAATCTGGACAGAAAACCACCCACCTGAGACAGGTTACCCTTTATTATTACTACACGACCATTTTACCACCTGCAGGTCAAGAGATGAAATAAGAGAATCATATAAAAGTTCCTTCTTTAGGCCCTCAAAAATGTCTTGCAGTACTGGCAATAGCAAAGAAGTTTTTTAGCAAAGACAGAAAATGTAATCATAATAAAGCAAGGCTGAGACAGACAAAAAAAAAAGTCTCCACGGCAATGTGCCTGAAATTATTAGTCTTTCAGGTTTGTTGCAGAAATTCTGGCCACCTGCCTTCTTAGAGCTTCACCCTTAGTGTCAGTACTGGCTCCTTAAGAGGGGCAGAAAAGAGGGAGACTGCTAAGCGTGGAATGAAGACATTCAAACCCTAGTTCATATAACCCAGGATTATGTGAACACTCAGTGTAGACATGGATTTCTATACATTTGTGTTTTGAGGTTAGATTTGGACCTAGGTGCATTTCCAAATCCACTGCCACGAGTCTGAAGAGTAGAGCAATTACATCAGTGATTTAAATAACTGAAGTATAAACTGTAGTTGTCACTTCCTTCACAGATCTGGCTTTTCATGAAAGAGAAAATCAAGGGAGCCTTATTGCCAAAACAGTACAACATCCTTGTGTTGCCTGATTTTGCAATAAAAAGATAGTTATTTTATTTAGGTTTTATATGCACGGAAATGTGACCACAAGACATTTTTAAAGCATGAGATACTGACCTTAGTTAAAAAGGACTTGCTGTTTTAGTTGAAAGATAGTAAAGCTAGACTGAAAGTACCAACCACAAGCTTAAAACAATCTTTCCAGTTAAGGCAGGGCTTAGAATGATTTGATATAGGATGTGGTTAAAAACAAAATCTCGGTTCTTCCATTACACTGTATTTAGAAGCAAACTAATTCTTTTCAGAATGAAAAATAAATAAAAATGGGTATCTTCCACACCATTACTTATCAGTGATTAACAACAAGTAAGGAGAAACCAAGTAAAGGTTTCCAGCATCTCAAGTATATTACCCCTGAGTCCTCGAATCACAAACCAAAGCCATCTCATTCTATTTCCAAAGAGAACGGACTCATTCAGAAAGGCTTTTAAGGGTATTGCATTTTAAGATGAAACCTATTTTGAAGCCTTCACTTCCATTTACCGTTTTGTTTGTCCTTCCTGACACGCAAACACAACATTCTGTCTCCATTCTTTCCATGCAACCTAATTCAAAGCAACATATACTAAATCCACGCAGAATCATGTGAGTGTTCAACCCGCACACACACCATTACCTCACAGAACGCATTCAATGAGCTCCTACACAGTTCCCCGCGTGCAAATCAGACGAGCCTGAGATGTACACATACACTGGAACCATCAAGAACGGTTCATGAAACCTGTTCCCTTTGAAGAAAAAGGGGGCTGCTTAAATACCCAAGGAGGTAACTGGCCGCAAGACAGGACCAAGTGAGCCTGGCACTGCGGGCAGCACTGGACTCAGGCTCCAGCACAAAGCTCAAGGAGGCTGCAGCGCCCTAGCTTGCAGTCATTTATCTCCCTGCAGCCCAAACGCCTGACTCGTCCCCCTCCCTGATTTCACCTAATAGCACTCAAACCCCATATTGAGAGGGCCTGCTGTGGATCTTGCGGAGGTACAAAATGGTGGATATGAGCTAATTTTTCCCCGCTTTCCCCATAACTTATCGCATCCATCACCGCTGGTCCTCAGCTCGAAGATCGCCAGCCGAGGCTCACCCGGTCCGGGGGCCGAAACGCGGTTACCAACCTGATGTCATGTAGCCCCGCGAAGCCTGGGGCGCGAAGGCCGCGGGGAAGCGCTTGTGCAGGCGGTAGTCCTTCTCGCTGCGGGACCTCATGCGGTCCGAGGCCCGGTCAGAGAAATCCGAGCTAGGCCAGGCTCGCCGCAAGGTTGTGCTCCGGGTCTTCTTCATGGTGAGGAGGGCGACCTGCTGCCCCAATCCTGGGGCCTCAGCGCCGGGCGCGGTGCTTCATCAGTCTACGGCGCGCACGACCCGGGCGGACTCTGCGCACATTTTCCCAGCCCCTCCTCGTCGGCGTCTACACCTCCAGCGGCGGGTCCGGCCCTCCCCACGCCCCCCCACACCCCCACGGCGAAGGCTCCGATTTTACACACGTCCCACAAAGCATTACACTTCATTTGCAATCCGCTCGGCTTATAGCTTCCAGATTCCTGGGGGGGAAAGGCACGTTAGGAGGCTCCCAGGCCAGGAGGAGGCGGGCAGGGGGCGGGCGGGGTGGGGGCGCCGAGACTTGCAGCATGAAGGCAATGGGAGAGCAGACAATGGCCCGATTCAGCGCAGGAGTGCTTAGCCAACTGTGAGCCTCGTACAAAAGACCCAAACAAATGAGGAAGCCGAGGCCTCCTGGGCTGACCCGCGATCGGACGCCCGGGAAGCTCAAGGGGCAGCGGCAGCCCCAGCGCAGCAGGCGGCTCAGCGCGAGGCGCGGGGATGACAGTGTCCAAGACGTGTCCCCCCGGGCCTTCAGGCCGCGCGGCCCGCAGTCCCCGGCGCAGACTGGCGCGGGGCCCCCTGCAGTCTCCGGGAGACCGTCTTCATTACACAGGCTCGAACGGGGGGCGCGAGAGCGCAGGGACCGCGGCGGGCTCCGCAGGCAGCAGCTGCGGCAGGGCGGGCTCCTGCGGAATCCAGGAAGAGCCCGAGTAGTCCCGGCGACTGCGGCGCCGCGTCAGTCTCCCTCCTCGCTCCGGGGCTCCGGCGGCGTGCGTGGGTGCGGGTGAGTGGTGGGTGGGCGTGCGCGCCGACACGCCGTGCTCCTCCGCAGGCGCGCAGCTACTCACCGGCCCAGGCGGCGACCGGAGCCGTGGCTGCCCGGGACTCCGAGCCCGCCGACCGGCCCCGCGGGGGCACCGCGGCTCGGGGGCTGCCAAGGGCTGAGAGCGGGACGGCCGCCCAGTTTGATGCTAATCACCTAGCTGCTCGGAGTGCTGCACTGATCCAGTCAGGCTTCTCATTTTCATGCAAAACAGCCTGTGGCGGCGGCGACGGGACCTTGGCTGCTGCCCCCGCCCGGAGACAGCGCTTGGCTATTTACATATTTCGAGGAGATTCCCTCCCCCTCGCCCGGAGCACGAGACTTCGTGGGAACTGGGAGTGCGCGGTGCCCTCCTTGCCCACCTGCGCCAAACCCGAGGTCAGCTAGAGCCGGAGGGCGGAGGCACCACCGCGAGGCCCCGCGACCGCCGCAAACGCAGGGGCGCCGGTTCCACGCCGCCAGGAGAACGCAGCGCAAGGGGCCTCAGGCTCTTCCTCTCTCTGGTCGCTCCCGTGTGTAAGCCACGGCCAGCCGGCCTGGCTGGTTTCAGGTCCTCAGCCCCTGCACGCTGCACTGTTCTGCACAGCTGTTTCTGGTCGGACAACCAATCGCTATAGGACAACAGTGCGCGCGGCGCGCGGGGGAGGAGGGGGCGCTGAGCCGTCGTCAGGGCCAGGGCCCTGGGCCCAGGACGCCCAGGTCACGCCGCCGAGTTAAAGGTGCCTTGCCACACTGACGGCCACCCTCTGCCACTGCCATTTACCCCCGCCCCGCCCCCCGAAAGCTTATCGCCCCCATTTAGGTTTTAAAAAGAAAAAGCTTTCGTGCTGTACATAAACAATTCTGACTTCCTTTTACAACACTGCATTTTATTTCACGTTTGAGCATTTTTTGTCATCTGTGACCATGCAATTCAGTATCATTGTTATGCTGTGGTATGATAGTCACAGGTGCCAAGATGCGGAAACAAGGACATGAAATCTGTAAGAAAGACGTGCTCTTTTCAGGCTTATACGTTAAATTAAAAAAAAAATTTTAAGCTGTCAGGTTCTAAATGGTTAAGATTCTGGGAGCTGTGGCATAATCTGGTGCTATTCCAAAGCTTGAATTCTTGGGCGGGAGTGGGGGGGGGGCGACTAATCTTGGAGAACCAGAACCAGGCAGAGTGAGGCGGGTTAAACCACAGGCGTTATAGAACCTACAACTACATGTCCACCATTCAGTATCTCAAGGCAGCCCCCTAGATACAAGGGAATCTATCTCTTGGAATACCGGGGGTAAAAATACATAAATGAACCACTAATTCTCATATGAAACTTATGGTATATTTACACTAATCGATATTTATTCCTAAATGTAAACCAATTAGCTAATACTCAGTGACATTTTAAAAGTTAGACTGGTTCCCCAAATGACGCATTTTGCTAAAATGTGCTCTTTAAGACAACTGCTAAGAAAGACTACAGCTTTAGAAGCTAAGAACTGTGATGTAACAAAATAATTATATTAATGAATGCAGGACATATTGACATTTAGATATCTCAGTTCAGCAATTACTCAGTACCTCCCAGGAGCCAAAAGTGGTTATATGAAGTTATAATAAGGATTTAAGGCTAATGATAGCTGTGACAACCACCATACTTGTTCACCGAATAATTATTGACTGTCTAATATAAACCAGCACTGCGATGGTGCTGAGCAAGCAGAGTACCACACATGACCTCATACAATGAATGGTCTAGTAGAGGAGAAATACAGTAAACAAATACACAAACTGTGCTAAGTTCTATGGAGGAAAATAACCTGTATGGGAAATGACAGTTCAGCTGAGAGCTACAGTGTGAGGAATAATCCAAGCAGAGTAGAAGAAAACAGCATTTGAAATAGGAGAGCAGCCTGTGCAAAGGCCCTGTGGTAGGAAAGAACCTCAACTTCTGTTGGAAGAAATGAAAGCCAGTGTGGCTGGAATTGGAGCATAACAAGAGAGGTGTGTGATGAGGTCACGGACGGAGGGGAGAGCCAGATCATGCCAGGACTTGAAGGCTATGTTAAAGGTTTTATATTCTATTCCAAGAGAAATGCAAAGCAATATGTTGGCTAGAGATTTTCTGAAAAGGAAGTTAGAATTACGCTTGATTTAAAACAGAAAAAAAAAAGTAGTTGTTTTAAAATGGGTCTGGGTTGATGGATACTTGAGAAGAGCTACAGCTCCTATCAGCCACTTCTGAAAGCAGAGCTTACAGTAGGAAAATGTGACATCCAGTGGCCATGGCCAAGCAGCCAAACAGAACCCTCAGAGTGTACATAGTCTGGGTGAGCTGCATGGGATCTGGCTAGAAAGTAAAGCAGGAGACGTGGGGTTGTTAAGTAATTCATCCAAATCAGGTAATGATGTTGAGTGTTTAGGAAGTGAAGGCTTAAATCTAATAAACAGCGTACTGGGGGACCAATCCCATCTGAAGAGAATGGATGTGCCACTGTTAAAGTCAAACACTGTCCATCTGTGTTATGGGAGGATAGCCTTTAGTCATATGTCTGTCCCTAACCCCAGTTCAAACCTCTAAGCCTACCTGAGGCAATCATGTCCCCGGGACTTCCCCTGCCCATGAAGCATGCTCAGTTTCGTGACCCCAGTATTTAGTACTGGGAAAATTTAGGATTACAGAAAGAAATGATAAAGCAAATTGATTTTTTAGTATTAGTCTTCTTTAATCAGGCTTATGGACAATTTATTTGGTATTATGTATCAGACAGATTAACAACACTAATTAGATTTGCTTTGTGATTCTAATTCAATTATATAATTGATCTTAGACTTGTAATCTTGAAAGATATAAGGATTTTTACCTTGAAATTCTATTCATTCAAAATTTTAATTCATTAGATTAAAAACAGCTAAATTAAGTTATAAAAGTGTAAATTCTAGGGCCGGGGATTTAGCTCAGTGGTTCCGCCGCCTGCCTCAAAAGTGCAAGGACCCAAGTTCGATTCCCTGTACCAAAAAAAAAAAGGTAAATTTCACAAGGGTAAGAGACACTCTGTTCTATTCATTGTTGTTCATTGTTCTTATTTTTGTGGTTCCTGTAACTCCAGGGGCTTGCAAAGCCTAGCATGTATTTGATGACAAACGAAGGTTTATTATGTACATGGGAAGATTTGGTTTGAAGCCTTCTCCGTCAGATACATTAACTGCTTTGTAAAATTTAAATATACCAAAGATATGGTATAACATCAAAAGCAAAAGCAAAAGAAAAGATGAATTTGGGCTTAATTAAAGATTTTAAATTTTGTGCATCAAAAGACACTGTCAATAGTGAAGAAGAAAAACCAGAGAATGGGAGCAAATATTTACAAATCATAATTCTAAAAGGGATTGATATATAGAATACATAGGAAACTCCTAAAACCAAAAACAATAATAAAAAAATCCTAAATAACAACCCAATTCAAAAATAGGCAAAGAACTTGGAAAGATATTTCTTCAAAGAGGATACACAAATGGCAAATAAGCACATAAAAAATGCTCCATTTCACTAGTCATTAGAGAAATGCAAATCAAAACTATAATGAGATACCAACTCAGTCCCATTGGGAAGGCTAAAAGGTAACAAGTGTTGACAGTGGAGAAATTGGAATCCTGGTGTATGATTGGCAGGAATATAAAATAATACAACCACTGTGGAAAAAAGTATAGTGAGTCCTCAAAAAATTAGAAATATAGTTACTGTATGATCCAACAATTTCACTTGTGGATATGTACCTAAAAGAACTGAGGTAAAGTATCAAAGACATGTTTATATGTTAATGTTCATAACAGCATTGTTCACAATAGCTAAAACATGAAAGCAACTTGAGTGTTCATCAGTGGATGAATGGATAAACCAAATATAGTATATACATACCATGGTGTGATATTCAGCCTTTAAAAGAAAGGAAATTCTGACCTATGACACAACATGGATGGTCCCTGAGGACATTACAATAAATCAACTAAGTCATTCACAAAAATATGAGCACTATATGGTACGACTTATATGAAGTACCTAGAATAGTCAAAATCATAAGAGATTAATAGTAGAATGATGATTGCTAGAGATAGAGGAGCAGGCCAGGTAGAGAATTTCAATTTTACAAGATAGAGTGACAGAGGTAGATGGTGGTGTTGAATACTAACACTGTAACATTTAATTTCACTGAACTACACACTTAACATTGGCTGAGATGGTACATTTGTGTTACATGTATTTTACTTTAATAAAAATATAATCTATTTTTTAAAACTAAATATACCGAATTTACAAATGTTATTTAAATGTTTAACTGAATGTATTTCACTGGGTTTCTAAATGGGCTAACTGTTGAGTAAAGTGAATATAGTCTTCTATTTGAGTTGATCAACTGTTTTGCAAAGCCCTGAGAGTTTTAAAAATATTTTTAAAATAGCAAATTTACAAACAAAAATAAATTGAATATAAAAACTTAAGGAGATTTGCATCTCTAGTGACAGAGTTTGGATCTGGAATGTTCCCCAAAGGTCCCTATATAAGGACTGAACCTCTAGTTCTGCACTATTTGAAAGTGGTAGAAACCTTTCAGAGAAGGGGCCTCATGGGAGGTCTGAGGTCATTGGGGGGCATGACCTTGAATGGGTTAATAAGGTCTTAGCCTCTTTCTCTCTCCTTTCATATTCTGGCTATGAGGTGATCGGGCTTCCTCTGTCACACACTCCTGCAGAGATGAGCTGCCTCACCACAGACCCAAAAGCAATAGGACTGGCTAACCACACACTGAAAACCTCCAAAACTGTAAGCCAATAAAAACCTTCCCTCTTTTAAGTTGATTACCTCATGTATTTTGTGATAGTAAAGGAAAGCTGACCAGTAAAGGAAGGCTTCATGTTTGAATTTGGATTCTTAGTATACTAACTATTAACTGAAGATCTAAGTGTCTGTAAACAAAAGTCCATCCCTGTCTCTGAAAAACCAACACTGACAATACCCTGAAGGATAAATACAAGAGAAAAATACTCCTAGAATGAGTGAAGAAAAGACACACACGAGTAGAAAATAAATATAAGCAGCCATTCCACCCCTCCCAGGCCAGAGAAAGGGACTTCTGGGCCGCCATTCCAGCACTCCCAGAGGAGGTGAGCTGCGCAGGCGTGAACAGCACCCCCCCCAACCCCCCATCAAAATGAGAAGACACATAAACAAGTCTGAAAACCAAATTTCCAGATCACCTAGAGCAACCCCAAAGGGAAATGAGATGGAACACTCTGATACTAAACCACCTGGACTCCCTGAAATGGCAACAAAAGAGGATCTGGAAAAAATGAAATCAGAAATAATTTCTCAGATAACAGAAGAGATTTTGCCCATAGTGCAAGACATAATAAATAAATCTACAGAGGACACAGATTAAAAAAAAAATATGCCATGCAATAAGAACCCGAAAAAAAGCAGGAGTAGCTATCCTCTTGGCAGATCAAGTACATTTAAACTAACTCTGATGAAGAGAGACAAAGAAGGACACTAAATCCTTGTAAAGGGAACAATCCAAAAGGAAGAGATGACAATCATAAATATCCGTGCATGAAACACTAGTGCACCCAACTATATAAAACAAATACTAATGGACATGAAAAGTTATATGTGCACTACTACAATAGCAGTGGGGGACCTCAATACTGCATTGTCACAGATAGATCAACTTACAAAAAATGAGCAATGAAATACTAGAACTCAATCAAACTCTTCAACAAATGAACTTAACAGATGTTTACAGAGTGTTGCACCCCACAAAATCACAAAACACATTCGTGTCAGCTGCACACAGGTTGTTCTCCAAAATAGATGACATACACGCTCATAGAACATATTTAAGTAAGTGCAAAGGAATTGAAGTTATCTCCTCTATATTATCAGACCATAGTGTGATGAAATTGGAGATCCATAGCAAAAGAAACTTGAAAAATTTCATAAACACATGGAAATTGAACAACA